AGGGGTAGATGGTGAGGGCGAGGATGAAGGGAAAATGATAGGGGGGCCACGTGACCGATGTTACTTGTAACACTCGCATCTCTTCATAAATTTTATGCGCATCTTGATAACCAGGCTTGAGTGGCAGAGTTCAAAGAAGGTCTGAGTACACAATAAACTGAGTGTCCCGACCATAAATAGATATGTTGGGCCCTAATGGATTTGCATGGTGAATGTCTGAGGGGCCAGGAGCTGCAGGCCAGTTGGGTGAAGGAACAAATTGATGATTTGCTGAGGCGTGCCTCGGGTGAACGGGACCTGGATGAATGCAGGTGGAGGCATCCCACATGATACACTAAGCCCCACTGCACGAACAGGAAGTTGGGATTCTACAAAAATAAATGAAGGTTTGTATTCAATATAAAATGCAACTGTACTGGGCGACTCACTTCCACACTGCGCCTCTGCAGTCTGCTTGTGAACTGCAGCACCATCATATTCGGACTGGCTGAAACCATGCTTCGAGGTATTTGGAATTACTAAAGAAAATTATCGTCAGACTTGTAATGTGACAAAGTCTGCACACCGAGCAATTATTTTACCTGCATCACTTATTTTCTTGGTAGTGAACTTGGAGCGCTGGTATCGGCTGCATTTTTCACAAAGCCATTTACCGGGCTTGCTCGGATCTTTGTGCTCAATATAGGTGATAGCAGGTACAGTGCCAGGATGACCGCTAAAACAGTTGGCATACTCGCAATAGTGCTGGTCAGCATTTGTGGTGAACTCTGCAGCATACATGATGATGGTGGATTTTTTTGGGGGTTTGGATTTAAATTTCTGAACCGTCAGATTCAAATATTAGTGCTACTAGAGGCTCGTCGAAGCAAGCAAGGGCCTTTGATATCACCATTTGATGCAAGTCTATGTGCGAGTGATGATTTCTCATGTCAAATTTGCAAGGCAAGAGATCTTAGGCACCACGTCAATACAATGTCTTAACCTCATTCTGTACGCACAGCCACATTTATGAGTGTAGTCGGTAAATCCTTCATCGCGTTCAGTGGGTGATTGGGGGTCTGGCAGGAGAAGAGCCAAACAAATGCCTTTTTAGTCCAGCTGATCACTCTCGCCGAAGCTGATCACTCCCGCTTTCCATAAATTGGATACTTTCTCAGACCCACCGACGGCAACTCTCAACGACTGAAAGACCTAACCACAGGTCTTTGCTCACCTTCGTAGATTCCGGTTGGAGGCTCTCCGGTGGATGAGTTTATGGTGATATTTTTTTTCGGATAACCTTCGAATTTCTTGTTATATCATCAGCTGCGGGATGATTTCTTACAACCGTTCAACGTTGCACGATGGTGTTGGTATGATTTTATTTTCTCACTCCGTTCCTTGATACATTCCCAGGGATATATTGCATTCGTTGGTTCCTCGCTGGGGACGTGGTGATACGATTCACACTTTTTCCACATACCCTTCTGCTCCTTGGTAAATACGACCTTTGCTTGCATTAAACTCTTTTGACGTTGAATGCAGCCGGTCTAGACCGTCTAGGCCTGAGATGGAACTCGAGTAGATGAAGAATTTTCGGTTCCGCGATACACTGCCTTAGCGTTGGTGTCTCCTTCTCTTTGCGGTCGCCACGTCAACAACGAGCAACTCTGATTTCGGGCGACGGCACGGCGAGGCTTGCAAATTTTAAATATAACTGAATTGAAAATAGGTGTGGCAGGAAGCCGATGTGAAGCCACTCCTGGAGAGTACTAATGGAGAAACTTAGCCAGGTATCGCTCATACCGATCTAATCTAGCATTAACGTTGATCATTGAGGTTGACAATGTTGTCATTAACGAAGTGCGTGTGTTGACTTGAACATGCTGGCCCAGCGATCTCCGTCATGATGGTGCGAGGTAAATGGACTTTTTCGAATTTTGTTTAGGGTATTATGTGTTCACCTAGCTGGGATCTATCTATTCAAAGGGATTCTTCTCACTCGACTTGCACTCCCAGACAGAAGTGTAGACACCTGCATTTCACTAGCTGGTCACAAAAGTGTTGTCTTACTCCTCATAGACGCCCTCCGCTTTGATTTCATCGCAGAACACCCGCCAGAACCTGTTTCACTTTTCCATAATAACATCCTGACCCTACCGCGCAAATTGGTCGCTGCTCATCTAAACAGATCATTCATACTTAATACGTACTCTGACCCACTGACCACAGCTCTTCAGTGACTCAAAGGCATCACCACATGGTCTCTACCAACCTTCTCAGATGCAGGAGAAAACTTCGTAGGCTCTTCTATCCATGAAGGTTCTATCATACATCAGCTAAACGCTGCGGGAAAGGTATGTGCTGACTACTTTTTCCCTGATACAATTCAAAGGAAAGATTGCTCTCGCTGGTGATGACACTTGGCTCACCCTTTTCCCAGATGCCTTCCAGCCAAACATGACATTTGCCTTTGACTCCTTCGACGTCGAAGACCTTCACACCGTAGACCAGGGTGTCATCGACAATCTTTTACCTTTGATGCGACATCATCGAAACTCATGGAGTTTTGCCATTGGTCATGGTTTAGGTGTCGATCACGCAGGCCCAGACCATCCCGTCCTCAGGAAAAAAAATCGAGCAGATGAACATATTCCCGTTGCTCTCAACACCTTTAGGTCCTTTTGCTCGAAGTGCTGGCAATGTCACTGATCGTATCTGGAACCTCCCTTCCCACCCCCGCCCGAACGTACTAAGAGTCGCATTAGCGATGTCGTTATATTTTGCGGTGTTGGCGTTTGGAGCAGGGTTGAGGCGGCATTTGATGGTATGGGTGATCTTTGCGCCCAGGTGTTTGGTGGTTGTATTTGGGCTTTTGGTTGTCGATCTGGGTGTTTTGGTTGATGTGGGGGTTGGGGTTGGGAGGGTTTTGACTCTTGGGAGGGGCGGTGGGTAAGCAGTGTTGTGTTATATGCTAGAATTGAATTGAGCTCCTTGGGTCAGCCGCTCTGGCCACGTACCGTTTTTTACTATAGCAAGAACCCGATATTTTGGGGATCAGAACGTGTTGGGGTACTGGGGGAGATCGTTGAACACGTGTACTGTCACGTGCACTTCGTAGCTTTAACGTGTTTAATGAATTGGAAAAAACATACCTTGAATCTTGATCACAGCTGTCTTGGGAAAAAGAACAATGGTCTTCTCCTCACACGTCCCGTTCTATTGCTAGTCACAACTCACCTGCCTCAAACTCATGGCTATGGATGTCGGCGAACGGACACCGTGGTTCGTCTTATTGTCCGCCTAATATAAGCAAGCGCTCGTGTCGGATCATTACGTCGTATCCCGTGCCCGTCGCGCCTGAAAAATTAGCGTCCCCCTGGATTTCATCCTTCAGGCTGGTGCTCCACCCTGTCATTCAACAAGGACCCACAACGCGAACACGACTCCATGCCCGACTCCCCATTATCACCAACTCCCAGACCCTGTTCACGCACAGTAAGCGTCCAACTCCCCGACATCCTCTCTTCATGCACGCCCTTTGAGCTACGCGTAAATCGGCATTGTAGGTCCGTATCTCGAGCGAGCGAAGCGTGGCTGTGTGATGTAGGGTTGAAGTTGGAGTGGAAAGGGATAAAGGTTGGTTTATGGGCTTCTTTGTGTTATCCTGGCGCGGATCTATCGCAGTTGAGGTTGGGGGCGGATTTTTTGAGTTTGTTGGTGTATGAGCAGGAGCAAGATGGTTGTGGTAATGAGAATGAGAATGAGGTGTTTGATCTGTGAGTTCCTTATGACGGTCCATTGAATGTCTTTGATCTCGCTGACAACGCGTACAAAGGATATCCGATCGACTCAGTCGCGTCGCGTACAAAAACCCAGCGTGGTACATGCGTTTCCACCGATCCATGCGCATGTATCACGATGCAAGGCGGCGTCTTCATTCGCTGGATTCGACGTGTATCCCGGATCTGGAGACATATGTCGATCTGCGAAGAAACGCGTCGGGTTTAAAGATGGTGTTTCACCTGATTGAGTACGCGGGGGGATTAGACCTCCCAGAACGGGTGTCTTCGCATCCGGTATTGAAGCAGTTGACAGACCAGGCTTGCGATCTTATAGCATGGTCTGAGGTGCGTGCTTGCGCAAAATAATATATCTATATTCTTAGTATTGACTTCTTCTGTTCTAGGACGCGATCTCATGTGCAAAAGGCATGACTCCAAACTCACGAATCAACATCGTCACTGTTCTGATGAAAGACCGGAATTGTTCGTTTGGGAGTGCACTTGCGTACGTGGGCACGCTCGTGAAGCAGAGCGCAGATGGGTTCTTGGCTACTGAGCGCCAGCTCGCTGCGTGTGCTGTGATGGACGACGATACGAGGCGGTATGTGAGAGGGTTGCGGGATTGTATTGCTGGGAGTGTGAATTGGCTGTATGAGACGGAGAGGTACTTGGGGACGAAGGGGAATGAGGTTAGGGCGTTTGGATGGGTATTTGTACCTGTCTTAGATTGATGTTCATGTATGTTATGTGTACGTGCTAGATGTATTCGATTTCTAAATGAATGGGAGGACTGTTTGGGGAGTTATTTTGACTGCTGTAGTATAGTATGTGTTCATTGCCGACTCAGCATAAGATCCGCGCTAAGGCAGCCACCGCGTTCAAGTTTACATTGCCTACTACATACTTCTTTCCTTCCTACTTTCGTATCAAGGGAATTTCCTGTGGACATCTATATCCGCGAACGCACGGCCAACATCAGTCAACAACACACGGATCGCATAGGTAGGGGAGAGACAACACGACAGAACGAGGGAAAGGCTGACAGCTAATACATAGTAACAGTATACTAAGACGATACCAGAAAAGACATGAAGAGCGAACTCCTATTGATGCTAGGCATCATTACTAGTACCTGCTTGGGCTTCCACATTCCGGTGCCTGCGTTGCCTAGGGATCAAATTCAGGACATGCTCACAGGGCGAAGGGGTTTGCATACATGATGCTACCAATGCGCGGGAATTTCCATCGTTTGGAATCCACAGACGCTGCAGACCTATTGAACATAAAAAAGCGCTTCAAAACCGACTTTGGAGGTGAGGCAAGGACCGGAGTGGAAACTGAAGCAAGAGGTATTTGGGGATGGGGGGAGCCTTGAGGGGAAAAGGATGGGGAGGGAGATGCAGCTGTATCACGCGAGTCGATGGTTCTTGGAAGCACGACTGGAGGAGAGGCGCGGACTGAAGAAGGGATTTCATGATGAGAGTGACCTCGAGGGAGCAGAGATGGGGAAGGTGAGGTAGCAGCATTGTGCGAGCCTACAGTTCCTGCCGGTAGCTCGTCCGATGCTGGTGTAGAAGGGGCTGAAAGAGAATCGGAGCTTGCTGACGGCTTAAGATTAATTTGTATAAGATATATTGCTCTATAGACAAGACGCAAATTCATTACCTGCAAATTTATTACCTGGTCGATGTGGCTTGGGATGTGGGACACCGGGGAAACGAATGCAGGCGACACCACATTAGTCATAATGGTGGCTTCCTGCGATATATCCCACAAAAATATTATGTTCTCATCGCCGGCGGTGGCGATAAGCTGGCCATCTGGCGAGAAGGCTACCGTGTTTACATCGTTGGCATGCTGGAGCACACGACCGAATGGTTTGCGGGTGGAGGTGCTCCATAGCTTCACAGTGTGATCCGTGGACGCACTGGCTAACAATTCACCATCAAGGGAAATGTCCAACAAGTTAATGACGCCGGAATGTGCTCGCAATGGAGATCCGAGCTGGGCACCAGTCGGTGCACTCCAGAAGTAAATCTGGCCATCACGACAGGCAGAAATGAGACGACGACTGTCTGGAGACCAGACTATCGAGCGCACTGCTGCGCCATGGGAAAGTGGTTGTGTTTGCTGCTTGCCGGTCGCTGCGTTCCAAATGCGAACCGTCTGGTCATGTGACCCACTCGCAATCTTGGCTCCATTGGGAGAATAGGCCAATGTCCCTACTTTGCCCTGATGATCATCGATGTCGAATACAAGTTCCCATGTCTCTACATCCCAGATCTTTAGTGTGCCGTCGGACGATGTGGAGGCGAGTCTTTTCTCATCAGGTGAGAACCGTACGCATTCGACCCGCATTGTGTGATGCGACAAATATCTGACGATCTTCTTCGTATCTGCGTCCCATATGATGATCTTGCCATCTTTCGCCCCACTCACAATTCTCCTTCCATCCATTGATACAGCCACTCCACAAGTTCCACTACTGTGCCCCTCCAACGAGTGTTCCTGTTCTCCTGTTTCCACGTCCCAAATCCGAATTGTCTTGTCGTTGGATGTGCTTATGACTTTGAGTTTATTCCTGTTTTTTGAGAACAACACTTCTTGTACAAGGTCGGTGTGGCCTCTGAGCGATTTGATTGGGGATAGGGATGGCTCCATGTGATCGTCGGCACTGTGGATGAGGATATGTGTGTTAGATCAGTCCAGCGAAAGTAGACTAGCGAGTGATCAGATGGTAGTGCATAGAAAAGTTCGAGGACCGGTAGAGATCACAGCCGAAGAGCCGAAAGAGCAGGCGCTTCTTCCATATACTTAGAACCTTAGGGTGTCAAAAAAGCGGGATCAACAATCGTGTGTACATGTGAGACTCCCGCGCGTCCCCTGTGTCGGACTACCAGTGTATACAAATGTCACCTCAACTGCACTCCTTTCCGGTCCCTTGGTATAGGGTGACGGCACTCAGACGTACGTACATAAGACCAACTATCATCCATACCTTCCAAGCTTCATGCATCATGCTTCATGATGATCATGGCGCATTGAAGATCCTGTGATCGCACAGAACGTCGGTGTCTTTCTACTGGCTCTTCGATTGCTACCGACATCACGCCAAGTGAGTTGTTAGCATCGCCATACCAGTATCACTAACTACAACCTGTATTTCTTCACCGAGATATTTAGACAGTTTCCCACGCATATAGCAGATAATGAATGAAACGGTCGTTTCCTTGTCCCTTCAGATTCCTGCCCTCCCTGCTAATATGCCATCAGCTGTGATGTCAATCATGCAAGGACCGCTTTGTGGTGCCTTCGCTAACATGCTACTGTATGGGGTCATCTACATGCAGACCTTTCGTTACTGGCAAGCATACGAGCATGACAGGAACATTCTGAAGTGTCTGGTAAATCCATCAGACGAATATATATCACAGTTTATCTGACATAGTCATAGGTAGCGTTCGTCTGGTATGCTAAGCGTCGTTCTGTTGGCGTGTCATCACAAGCTACTATATTTGACTTTTCAGGATTCTCATACAGCATTGATAATATATACCGTTGAGTTTTATCTCATCATGCATTTTGGAGATATAACGAGCTTGGAATATGCAATGTGGTACGTCAATTTCTTTATACTTCTATTCCGGTTCATTCAGTCTTTATCGCAGGGGAATGCCCGTAAGCAGCTAATGCAGACAAACAATTTACTGCTGATCTCGCCGCATTCCACCAGATTATCGGTGTACGTCACTTTGAATTTGCCTGACGTTTGTCGTAGTGACACAATCGTAGTTTATTATTGCCTATGCTGTGAATCTGTAAGTCTTTTCAAGTGTTATAAATGGTTTAAGTTCGCGCTGATGTGTAATACCAGTTGCTTCATCTGGCGAGTACTGCAGCGTGAGTATATCGATACACGCAGTTGCCTCCTTCCTCAATTACATGTGCAGTTTCGCAAAAACGCTGGATTGCTGTTTGCTTTGTAAGATACATATCTATGAGATCGAAATTTTCTGCTCATGCCCTTGGCATAGTTCATTTTTGCAACCATTCGCTGCGGTAAAACCTTCAATTATATGATCGAGCTGCCGTTGATCTTTTTTGGCAGGATTTGGACTTGCAAACTGTTCCTTGACGCACGTTCCACCTGTGTTGGATGATCTACCTGCTGACTGTAGTTTGAACAGTTTCTTTTATCCCAAGTGGCAGATATTCGAAGAACGCGTCTATGTATGTACCTTAACGATTATCTGCAGGTCTGTCGGTCTCAATATGTCGCCAGCCAACTATGGTGGTTGGATGGGTGCTTTCAGCAGTGGTCGACAGTGCGATTGCGTTTACACTATGCCTTTACCTTCGAAAACGTCGCACTGGCATGAAAAGGCATGATCTCAGTTAGCCCAATTCTACGTCAAATTCACATTGTCACCTTTAGAACTGACAACGTCCTCAACTGCCTCCTACTATATACCATCAACACTGGTGCTGTCACATCGTAAGCCTACTACCAATTCTAATAGTCAACCCCCTGTGATTCGGGGACTTATTTTCTATAGGTTTTGTGCAGTTCTGGTGGTCATCATGGTAAGTAGACACCGAAGCTCATCTCACAAACTAACTTCAATCAGTTTCTCGGTCTACCAAACAATCTCGCGTTCGTTGGGTTTGTCCAAGTCCAGAGCAAACGTCTGTCCGATTCAGTTGTCATCCTTAATTCCTAGCTGACACTCTACAAAGTCTATGCGATATCACTTTTGGCATCGTGCGTTATCGTAATTCAAGTAATATCTTCTATCTGAAAACGTCCGCCAGGTTAAACAACCGAAAAAGACTCGAAGTGACCAATCAGACTTTTCCCTCTGTGGAAGGCGTTGCGAGTTCCCATATGCCTCGCTTTTCGACATTCAAACCATCACAGCGGACGCCGTCTTATCTGGTTCGTACTTTTCAACCCTGCTCTTTTATGTGTTAGTCTGAGGCTCAGGTCATGTGTTAGCAACCGATTGAAGTGCAGACGAGTGTTGTGATGGATATTTATGGCGACAGTCTGGATACTGGATTGGACAGCACGTTTCAGGAGTGACTGTTGAGGTTGTGCTGACAGGATATAATTTAATCTGTACTTCGTTCACTGTTTAGCACCAGCGATCTGTTATTTAATGATGATCTTGACGTACAGGGTGATGCATTGCAGCTCCTGCCACTTGTGGGTCCGAGCTGTCATGAGGAAAGATCATGATCTGCACCGGGTTAAACTAAGGTTGAGCGGATATACTTAACGAACAATTGTACACGCACCAGCTCGCTGAGTTCTCCGATGGAACATGTACAAATCCAACAGTACTGTGTTGCGGCATTTTCCGGTATTAGTGTCTTGTTCTCCTCCATCTTCATTCCAAAGTTCTCGAGTGCAGTGTAATAGACAGGCGTTTCTCTAGATTTCTGGAGTGCATTTAGCTATAGTGCATGTCGTGGCACCATGTCCATGTCTTCTTACCGCCTATTCAACTGTGTTAACTTGTTTTCAACCAATTTGAAGTTCTTTATTAGGTGGCAATGGACACGTGCCAAGCATCCTCCCACTCTCAGCTTATCCAAGGGGTCATTCGTGAAACGTCAGAACCATACAAGTATCACTACTGACATGTCCTTACTTCAGCACACCGGTTCATCAACGTTTTATACGGAATTAGCAGAGTTACCCCTTCCTGTGTCTGCTGATTTTGTTGGTGGCGATGGTGCGTCTACTAGTCAATATAGCCAGAGATCTGATCGATGACGGACACCCACACAGTTCCACGCGTCACTTACACCGTTCGCGATCTTGAGCGTAATATCACACGATCCCTCACCAAGACTTTCTCTGGGGGCATCAGTTCTTATCATCAGACAACCTCCCATGATTCCTCCGAAATCAAGGCGTTTAGAACATCTCCTTCCAAATCTCGTCAGGCGGTCCTCCGAGAGGTTTCTAATGGCACAAGTACAAAACGTTTCGTCGAAATCTGGGCCGGTGTCCAGATAGAGGCTTCCTTGGATGTCACGAAGTACCACGATGCTTTCCATACAGATGGTGAGTTGAGTAAATGCGAATATCCCTGAATACTTGCAAATCGGATGTCAGATTTCACATCATCGCTCTCCTTCTCCCCATCGGAAACATCCCTTCTATATACCGCCGAAGCAAACATCATCAGCGATGATAATGCTTCGGACGATCCATATCCCAAATTCAGATACACCCCGCACTTTGGCGAACTATCTCGCGGCAAGAAAAGATCGACCATTTTTCTATTCCGCTGGACAAGGTCCACAGCCTTCACCAAGGCTACTAAGCAAGACATGTTGCTCGTTGCCCTTTCGCTGGCACAGCCTACCCAAACACCCGTCCTGTTTGGTCAGGCTACTTTTGCGACGGAAGATATCATCTACGCCAGTGGACACGAACACACCAAAGACGGTCGACTACTGGGGGTTAAATGGTGCTTCAATCGTCCCATGGGCATATGGGAGATCAAACTTCCAGAGTCAGCAACTGTGCAAGGGACACCTTTTGGTACTAAAATATCATGCAACGCGTTGAAGCTGACTCCTTCAGAACGGTCTTGTCGTTCACCTCGCGTATTATATGATGAAAATCAGACGCCCACTAAACTCTTCTGGTTCTCGAATCCTATCGGAGGTCCCCACGCATCTTGCGTTTCTCTAGAATCTCGCGACCTAACTACTGGTACCAACAAGGTCCTCGTAGACACCGTGATGGAGCCCACCTCCGAAAACGACTTTCCAGGTCTATATCCCAATTACAACATGCCATCCAGCCCGTTTTTGCGTCACGGAGACCATACATACATCGTGCTCCACTCCTTATGGCGCTCCCGTGCGACGATCCTCTTCATTGATACAGAATCAGGAGCAATTTCAGACGAGACAAAAATGCGAGATGGCGAACCTTTGTATAGTTGGGACTTGCATGCTACAGACGACAAGACGCGCTTCATCTGTTCAAGGAGCACGCCTACTACTCCACACGAAGTATTGCTAGGATACTTTGATGAACACGACAATCTCAATTGGAAAGTCCTAGATAAGACAATGATGTCTTGCGCAAGTACGTTCAAGTCAATTTGGATTCTTGCCAAGTCTAATCATGTCTTTCAGCTGAGAACGCACTGCGTGATCTCACTGCATCGATCATACCCATCGGCGCGCGTCCTCCAACAGAGACTATCGTAATTCAATCGAAGAAAGCTTCCACGAGACCTGGCTCAAAACCCATCTGCGTTAACATTCCACATGGAGGACCACATGCATCAACGACAACATCATTCTACCCAGCTACTGCTGCACTAGCCTTGGAAGGATGTAAGTCTTTTTGACTTCGCGCCTACTGACCACTTACAACAAGCATGCTCCCAGATACAATCTCTCTTCCTAACTATACTGGCTCCATGGGATTCGGCGAAAAGTACATTCAAAAACTTCTCGGGAATTGTGGAACAATGGACGTACAAGACGTCGTAGAGAGTGTCAACGAGCTCATCCGGCGTGGTATCTCAGAGCACGGACGACAAGTTGTTCACGGTGGAAGCCACGGCGGTTTCCTCGCCGCGCACCGTAAGATTCCATTTCGAAAACAAAAACTTTTTTCACACTGACACCGACATACACAGTTATCGGGCAATACCCAACCCTATTTAACGCAGCAGTGATGCGCAACCCCGTGACCAGTGTCGGCGAGCTAACAGCGTCCGATATCCCCGACTGGGCGTACGGTGAATTTGGGTTCCAATTTACCCCGGACTCGCTCATGACACCCGCCACGTTCCAAAAAATGTTCGAAGCGTCGCCTATCGCGCACGTCGATAATGTACGCGCGCCTGTATTGTTGTTGATTGGAGAAGACGACTTGCGTGCGGTACCGGCACAGGGATTGAGGTTTTATCATGCGCTCAAGGGTAGGGAGAGGAGAGTGGAGATGTTGTGGTTTAAGGGGGAGACGCATTCGATTGATGGTGTTGAGGCGGCAAGGGTTTCATGGGAGGCTGGGAGGGATTGGTTTAAGAATCTGGGGCAAAACCCAGCTGATTGATGATGTAGAGGATCTAAATGCTGCTGTTATGTGGTCAATGTGTGGGATGCGGGACGTGAGCAAGGAGGATGATACTGGCGATGTTATATGAAACCACCGAGCAGACTGTTCCTGCTGTGGAAGGCGTTGCACTTTCATTCATGCCTAACTTTTCGGCATCCGAATCACCACACCAAAAGCCGTTGCACCTAGTTTGTCATCAGAGAAATCATCAGTCCTTGATATTGTAGCCGTGAACACTGTAAAAGAATTAAATCCTGCTCCTGCCAAATATGGCCATCTGTACTTGAAGAAATTTTAATCGTGGGTACATAAGCATGTATCTCTGTGATTCTAGACTACAACGACGGGTTCGCGACAACATTGTGCTATGGCGAAATTGTGGCCAGCAAGGGAGGGTAGCGCATTTGTATCCCTATCTTGACTCGTCCTCACTCGTCCTAATTTATAATTTAAAGACAAACCTATTCAAGACTTTATCACGAAAAGTAGCACTATCACTGGCTAACAAATATATATTAACATCGGCCATTGTGGCTATTCTATTGATATCACGCAATCTCAGCCTAAAATTGGTTGGTGGGTAATTGTGTTTGGGTTGCCAAACATCCGCGTTTGCCATCGTGTGCTGTTATGAATTACCTAGCTATGTAATCTAAGTAATATTGCTCCTGCACTGTAAGACAATAGATGGTTTTCTGGCGGCAAGCGTCTATCGCATTGGTTAACAAATCTAGAGTGTATATCAATTCTCAGCAAATATGTGACAGCCGGCCATCACAGAAAGAAAGACCTCACTTGCGCTACTAGCTTGGGTATCTCTTCAAGTTTGTACCCAATGTGTCATGTAAGGATGGAGACTCTGAATACAAAGAAAACAGGTGATTTTCTGGCCTTCCATTCGCAGTGGCCCCCATCACACCATTGTCCAGGATTACGAGTCCAAAAGATCACATTGCGGTACAAGTAGCAGAACGACTTGAAAAAGCTAAATTCGAGTTTAGTGTTTCACTTAAAAAGAAAGGTCATCAAATGCGTCCTCGTCCTCATCCTCGTCCTCATCTCCCCCTTTGTCATCCTCATCCCCATCTTCCAGCTCTTCGTCACTAAACTCATCATCATTGTTGCTATCCTCCTGTTCATCGTCGTATTGTTCGTGATCTTCATTGTTGCTGATATCTTCATCCATAACATCCATGGCATTGACCGGCGCCACTATATCTCTAATTATCCTCTGCAGGGTTACCGGGTGCCCAATGCCAAAGTGAGTATATCGCAAAAACATATCTCGGTCGACGAATCTAGCTCAGAGGTCAATGATCGATGATAGTAAAGCATACTAACCACACTCACATTCCAACATAGTGCTCTTCCCAATCATCTACTTCCCCTCCAGGACGTGCCAGAGATGGTCCATAGCGAAACGCGCTCGTACCACGCTCTGAGGCAAATGCAGGAATTAAGTGAGTTCCTCGAACCACTTGTCCTGGATCAAGAAACCCGAATGCGTCAGGGTCCGATTCATCCACGAAGGCAACCTTTGGAAGACGAGTAGTCGTTATACCAGATTTGTGGTTCTGCAATGGTGCCAGCCACCTGACCCACAAAACCTTGAGGTGCTGCTTCATAGGTCGACTTCCATTGTTGAGCCAAGTTTCTATATGGTAGATACCCAATATGCGGGCATACCAGTAAGGGTGGGTGGGTGTCGTCTCTCCTGAAATCACCATAACATCAGCATGTGTCCTAGGGTTGATAGTATCGTACTCGCGCCTAAGGTCATACATGGTATAATATACCCGCATGGTCTGGACGGAGTGAATAGTATTGTTAGGGATGATGACTGTATCGTGCTCCTCGTCCGTGAAGACGTGATCGCAATAACTGATATCTAATTTCTGTAGCCAGAAAAGAAACATAATCCTTCAATTTTGGAATGAAATTCTGTCAACCGTTGCGAAATGAGTGTGAGGCGTCCCCATTGCAAAGTCACTTCTACCTTAATGGCTGGATCACCATCGTGTTCTTGAAGGAATTAAAATAAATTGACTGGATTACTCTTATGAGTTGCGATATGGTGATGAATTCCAGAGGATGCTGAAGGGGGAGCATCGGCAGGTGATTGGCTATCGGAGGACAGTTTGCTTCCTGCTTCTGCGACACGTCGAAGTACATGGCGCCTGCGCTCGTGCTTAGCTAACTGCACCGGGGTGTCTAGCTTGCTAGTCAATGGGTAAAACACCTTGAGCGTTCTGTGCGCAAGCTCCCCCTGGCCATAATCAACTCATGTAGCTAGTAGGCGTATAACATGTACATACCATTTGAGTTGTGAAAGAATCTGTGGTCCCAAAAAGTCTTATGGTCCCCACATAATCGGCCATTGCGTGAAACTTGTAAGTGTTCAAATTGAACTTCTTCGCCTTCGGTTCACTTGATGCTGGAGAGGTTGTACAGGTCTCAGACTGCTGAGTGAACCTTCGCTGATGGGCAGTTTTCTCCTTTGGTAATTCTGTGCTATTGAATGCGGCACAGGTATCGCATCGAAACTTCCGCAACTTCTGAGAGAGCTTCTTGAAAGTCTCCTCAAGAAAAGTTATCGTAGAGTCCGAGTGCATCCTCAGTTTGGCAAGTGCATGCCACTGCGCGAATTGGTACAGCAGAGATTGCACCGCTGCATCGTGGTCGGGAGGGAACAGTCCCTCGAAAACTGGAATGGCACACTAACGACGGAGAATGTATCAGTGACCCTAGTAGTTTAAAAAAGCGAGGAATGTGAAAAAACCTATAATATGTCTTTGAAGTCCCGTGCTGCTAACCTTTTCATCTCGGAAGTATTGTTCGCAAACTTGCGAATCATGCCATTGCCAAAGGTCGGAACCTGGCGGAATCTACGGCGAGAATGAATTGAGGATAAAAAATACGACTGAGTATGAATTCTGCGTACCTGTGGTCAAGCATTGCAACGAGCTGACTGCCTCCAGGAAGGGAATACAGAAGTCTAATAAGGTGAGTAAATAACGCCTTCCAAGTACCCAATTCGCATTCATGCATGAAATCAACGACAAGCATGCGAAATGGGTTGAGGCCGAATGGTCCAAGTTTCCAGACAAATTGATTCTGTAGGTAGCTGGTTTGAGCTGATCACAAATTGGAAAGGATTGTTTGTACTTACCAAGGTGGGTACCCACGAACCGTTACCGAGAATGTCTTCAACCTTTGAACCATCTACAGTATTCCCCCTCTGGTAGATATACTCGTGAGCCTCGACAACTTTGGTCATAGCATACACATGCAAATTCGTTAGACAACTTTTCATGTCCGTGATGAGACCGAGACAGCTAAACAAATTTTTGGGAGTGAGACAGCGAGGGCAAGCACATGAGCCCATATCCTTGATAGTCGCTATCAAAACCCTAGAATTTTATGAGCGATTTGACAATTTTAATGAACATAACACAGAAATATACTTCTCAGGATAATCAGCGGAATATGTGAAGATACGGGGAAACACCCTCTGCAGCACCCCATCAGCACATTTCAAGACAATACCATGGCGATATGCGAGAACAAAGTCCTTGTCGAGCAAGATTTCCCAACATGCCTGGAACAACTCCCTGCGACAATGGGTATGAAGCGACGCCATACCTGTTTTCGATATACGAAACAGACCGCTCAGAATGTCTTTGATATCGTCGGGAAGCTGAAAAGGCGGTTGGTATTAATGCCGATCGGCGATCGACAGGCATCACACAAGGACTCACGGAAGGTAAGAACTAGGTGGCATGCTCCCGATTGAGGTAATGATTGGACGTACTTCGTCAGGTTTCTGAAATAGAGGTAAAGTGGCCAGGCTTTCGCAGTACTGAAGTTCGCCAGGTGAGTCACATCGGAAAATAACATAAGTCCTGTGACAACCCGCTCCAAGGAGCAACCAGGTTCCTTGGGCAACTTCTGGATATCATCCTGAGCCTCCAGCCATGCATCGGAGGTGTAGAGCTCGTCGAATATTCGTTCCTAGTGGCCATCTAAAGCATCCTTCCATAGACGTTTAAATGGTAATAGATGGAATGCGTTTGCCTGTACATCCGCGAATGCTGCACAGATCACCTCAACGAGTGGGCGATAATGGAAACTAGGAATGATATACAATTTAGGTCCTTCTTCCCTCAACTTCGTCGGAATGTTGATAGTGACGTGGGTCTCGACCCAGTCATCTGGGAAAGTGACTCTGTCCCCACCCTCATCCTTTTCCAACTCTCGCAAGCTCTTCTTCACCAAAAATCCTTCGAGATGCTTGACATCAAAATCATCAGCCTGTAAGACATCCTTGACGAGGTGTTGAATCTCATCTTCTGATTTCCGGAGGCTGCCCGAATTCATCCATGACATGAGGCGATAAACGGTCATGTTAGAAAATGGGTAGGGTGGTGGAGAAACATTTGGCAGGGAATCCATTGCTCGAACAGCTGTTGGACATGACTTCGCAAGTAATGAGGATGGTATAAAATTATTCGGCTCGAAAGAAGGCCGGCGAGGGTATAATTGGCAGAGTCCAAACGAGTTGAAAGCAGTTTGGAGAGTGTCTCGTAGAATTAAAAGGACTTGTTGAATTTGAGTTCGAGCTGGGATTAACGGGACAATGGCAATATCAGAGCTATTAAGATCCTCGGCCAAATGCTGAATGTCGTCTAAAGGTCTAGGAATCTGTCTCCTGGGAAGTGCAGGTCCCACTGATGTCGAGTGATTAGTAAATATGAGATGCAGGAGCTAACTAATACGAACTAAAGTTTTCGTGCTCAAATTCTTTGCCAGAATGAGTGTCATCTAACTCTAAGTTCATGGAGTTTTGTTCCCTGTCCGGGTTTGCACCGAGGGGGTGCTGCGAAGCCTCAAGACTGGAAGCACCGAATAATGCGAGATGCGCAGAGGGTTTGCAACGAGCGACTGACTGTGGATGCTCCTTCAGGCTCACATCTCTGGGCCTCGACGATAACATTCTCTATTGATGCGAATTGCTTCTGTTGAGTATGACTTGGCAGGATCGCGAACTCAGATCACTCACTTGCAATGTATTAACTGACATATTTGCCAATGCAGCATCTCTCACTCATTGTAGTCTCTTCTGAGTCGCAAGGATGCCGGACTTCTTGAAAAGATGGCAACTTGCTCGATGCCTACTAAGTCCTCGAGCGCCTGTTGCCTTTTCCCACGAGCAACCATGCGCACCACAAGATACCATTGACAGAAGTAGGAGGAAGATCCAAAAGATTTCTAAAAGCCGCATGAGTTACAATGTGGAGGAAGCCTATCACTCACGGGCTACATCAACATGAGTTTCAGGGTCACGTGACTGGAATTTTCGTTCGGGAAAGTCGTAGCCTCTCGCGAGTCGCTGCGGCCAGTGCCCATGGGAGCAAATACAACTTGCAGACTCCACCCCATGTACAATATCAATGCAACAGAATAAACGAACAAGGTCAACGAATACATCATGACAGACGAGTTCATCACCTTTGTTAATCCAGCAGAGGTAAGCTGATATTGACTTGACTTCAGTTCAAACAATCGATCTCACATCATCGTAGTACAAGAACTGGAAAGCAGGAGGTAAGCATCTCGCCTTTTGACTATCAGATAATCCATAACCTGATTCACATTTTGCAGACAGGTAAAGTGCACGAGTATCGCCCGATAATCCATCACTGATGATTCCTATGTATGCATAGAACGATACCTCTAGCTGAGGTAGTCAATGGTGAGCACTGATTCGATCGTGCGATCGTGATCTAATCGCATCATTTCCTAGCCTTCAAAATATTTTACTCCAATCAAGGTGCACAGGGCATCTTGGGTGCGCCTTCAAAACAACAACTGGATACTATCTTCGGCACGACGAAAGATGTCGATGTCTTGACGCAGATTCTGGAGAAGGGGAAAGATCAGGCCGGGAATGGCATCACCTCAGGAACGACAATCATGAATGCTGCGCGTGGAAGCTTGATGGACAACAAGGGCAAGGGAATGTCGGGCATATGATAAACATGATCATAATCATTGTGTAGATATTTGCAACAAGGTCACAATGTATTACTAGAACAATCACTTTCACCCTTCTCTGATTCATGGATTATCCTGAGCTCATGCATCTTGTGACTGAATGTAGAAGACGGTCGAGTCCTCTACTCCCTCAACGTAAGGAGGTGTTGTTCTCCTAGCAGGCTCCGTCTGCATGAATGCAACATGATGCTGAGAGTTATCGAGATATGATGGGCATCGCTTCACACTTTCTAGATCACGCGTACTCACCTCTGGACTCTCCCATCCAAGTAACAACACTACTTCCTTTGCGTCTTTTGCATTGACGACGTATCCCCATGCAGTTCCGTAGCATCCCTCAAAATCATGGCACACTTCCAACGATGCGTCGATGATCTTGCTGAATTCATTCAGGTCGGTTTCAGGCTTCACAGTGCTAATAATCACTTCTGTGAACGGCGTGACAAAGCATTTGGTAGGTGGGTAGGGATTGAAAACGACGAGCCTGCACATCGGAGGAGAGTCAACAACTGCTCCAAGCTTTTCTTTGATCTGCGCCGCTATCGCGGCCGTCGACTCAGACCTCTGAGGGTGGTGATCCCAATCTGTGCGTGTGATTAGCTCAACACGGTGTCACTAGAGTCGAAATGCCTCACTGATGAACCACTGCCTAATTCCAGGCTGCTGGATGCGATCGCCCCAGTACATCTGTTGGAGGCCTTCAAAAGTGGACTGGCACAAGAGCTCGACGGCCTCCTGGAACTTGGGAGTTGTCTTCATCGCATCATTGCTCGTGAGCGTGATGATTTCGGTAACAGGCGTGTTTGACATGGTGCTGTAGCAGAATCCGATGGAGCACCTCGAATGTTCCCCACATTTATACGTAGCGCGTCGAAGATGTTCCCAGGGTAGGGTATTACTTTTGCGCATGACAAATCCCGATCATGGGCTTCAGGAGGTTCAGTAGAGAACGTCCATATCTAAGCATTGTCGCGCCATATCCGCAAATTGTAAGCAGACCTGACAGGACATGAATGCTTTGGGAAATTTGTTGATCAGTGACTCATCGGCACCTTATTTCTGCTGATCCCCGCCATGAAATGAGGGCGCCCACCGAGTCATAGTGAGTCACAGGAGAGATAAGACTTGCACAACAATGACAGGACATAAACCACTAACCGCTGAAGGAGATAGTGTGGATATTGGTTTATGAACTTAACTTGTACACCCTTGGCAGCACTTTTTAGAGCTTCTCACGGTCTGTTAGACCCGGTTTCCTTGTAGAGCGCAACTGGTCTCTGAGACCACCCTCCCCAGGGAGGTTCTCACCAAATTCCCTAACAGGTTTATGCAACCCTCTCGCACACCTCCACGAGGGGCAACCCTCCCGCCCTGCATCTGTTTGTGCACCTTGTCAGTATCCCTCCCCTTGCCTCAAGAGGCACAATGGTACCCTCGCGAACCACCTCACGGACTCGTCCGTTATCATCACTTAAGAGGGTAGCCCTGCCAGTCTTAGTGGCCTCATTGAGAGCCCAGGAGAGCCCTAGCACATTATACCAAGCTTCTCCCATCATTAATATTGTTAGTATAGTGACCCTCTCATAGCCTCCCACCGTTTCCGTTACTGGTTATGTTATTTTATTCAATCAGTCACTTATGTTTGGTGAGATCTCCACAGGTTTTCCGATGCGCGAAGACATTAGTGTTCTGAGATGTCCTGGATGAGACAAGCAGGCTATGCAACTGCTATACTAGTATTGACATAACAAATTACAAAAGGTGCGAGAGAGGGTGCGGTGGATATATGAGAGGGTACGAAGGAGGATGTGAGAGGGTGCACTGGATATATGAGAGGGTATGAAGGGAGGATGCGAGAGGGTATGAGAGAGGATACAAGAGGGTACGAGGGAGGATGCGAGAGGGTACGCTGGATGTATGAGAGGGTGCACTGGATGTATGAGAGGATGCGAGAGGGTGGTCTGACCTCTAAAACTGGGTGAGTAGATCATCTCTGGGACGTGTCAGCCGTTCATCTGTGGCCCGCGCCGCACAATCCCATGCACTGCATTGAGTATACCAGGCTCACTCTGGTGCAAGTCATCCGTTCTTGCTGGGCAGCAGGCACATGAAGGTCTGATTGACATCAAGGCTCGCGAGGGTGAATGAGAGGTTGGTGAGGTTTTCTGTAAGGATCATGAAGGTGGATGAGGGCTTGTGAGGGTTGAAAGGAGGCTCGCGAGGGTTGAAATTGAGGCTCGCAATGGTGCTTGTGTGGAGGCTGTAAGTGTTGATTTAAGGCCTGACTGCAAGTGGCAGCAGAAGCCTCAGCTACAGAATATGTGAACCAGTCTGCAAATACCAACAAAAACATACCCTTGTACTAGCAGTATTCGTCTGGTGGGTCTTCAGGCCGAGTGTTTGAGTCTACAATTATGTTCAAGCTCTCAGAAGAGCTTGCACCCAGAGCCGGAGAAACGATATGATACAAGTCATTCGGGTGGTTGTAGAGGCTCACAAGGACAAGCAAGAATGAGCAAGAATGAGGGATGACAAGTGAGAATGAGCAAGGACAAGGCATGTCAAAGATGAGATCACGCACTAGCTGAGAGCAGGACACAGCCATGGCACCATTGGCATAAGGTGAGCAGTTCAAAGACGAGGTGATGCACTGGTATCATGAGATGGTCAAATAATAGCAAGCGGTGTAAATAGATTTTTTTTAAATGCACCAGATTAAGTTCATCACAGGAAGGCATGAAAGTTTGACAATACTGTCTGTTGGAAGATGGAGGAGTAAGCGATGACAGAAAGACAGGATTCATATGCACTGACCGCTACAATGGCTCGCACAAAGACTCAAAAGGAGAATGCAGTTCTGCCGCTTGTACACGAAGTCATGTGATGTGAGGTCGACTCAGTGGATGCGTTCAAACGTTCACTGGCAGTAGCCAATCAGATGACGAATAAAACTCGTACTGAAACATAAAACATTGATTGTGGACTGAATATTGATGATAGCAGCACCTTGAGTGATCCAAAATAACAGCACAGTAGTCCCTGCATATTGAAAGACACCATAAAGTACTACTTTTGTGAGGGAAATGACCTCAGACTGGAACATGACACTTTTTGTGCAAAGTGCAGTTTATTGCAACGGCCAATACTAGCTACTATAGTAGTCCTAGTACTACTAGACCAAAATGTATCATGGTACATATTGAACTCAATAACCTATCACAACTTGTCAACCACTCTTCACTGAGTTGCTAACAGCCCTCAATGACACACTGAGTCAACACCTGCCTCCGAAGCTTCGAAGCTAGGTTTACAGGGATGCAAATCTGATCTGGAAGAACAATGCGAGGAGAAGCTGATCGTGTTCTTGAATGACCCGGAGAAGTTGGTGACAATTTCCCTACCATCTTACATGCATGAACAAGGCCTCATCTGGTCTGTTTCTCAATAATGACTTTTAACGTGTTTCTTATCGGAGTATCTCTCATAGGTCGGAGAGGAACCTTGTTAACGCACCACACCTCCTAAGCTTCTTCTTGAACTTTGTCCTGTGGAACCGCGTCCTCCCAAAAGCCTTGCATTAACACGGCATATGTAGTGCCCTTGATATAGTGGAGCTCGCGAAGAAGGAGCTGCTAGATGATGTACCAGTGGTATGTTTCTTTTACAAATATTAGCCTGCTTAAGAACTCAAAAGCCTCGACCTCACCCTGTCAAATTTGATCCGCTCGCTATACTCTACACCACCATGTCAAGCCCCAACCATGGCATGTCAAAAGCCTCGTTTAGGCTGGGTCAAGCACCATGCACACCATGACAAGTTCTCCCAAACATCTTTGCAGTCTCTGTACTAATATCAACATCCACACTCTATGCCACGTCAAGGCCTACTATCAGTGCCACATCAACCATAGCACATAGTGTGTCAGTGCCACGTCACATGCGCATCAGTGCTGCATCAAACCTCATCCATGCCGTGTCAAACTTCATTCATGCCACATCAAACCTCACCACTTCAACTGTCGCACTGTCCATATAATTTAGGTATATTTTATCGTAATAATTGATATTCTAACAGTGTTCCTTTTCATCCTGACAGAATTAGACGTCGTACACTGTAATTGTCCATAGGCAGTGCCAGTGCTGTGTCACGACCACAGCAGACCACATCAAAATAACTACACCCAAACTGGAGGCCTTCATTCTCTGGTGCGAAAGTATGGGATGGATGTGCGAGAGGATAGAACAGAGCTGCGAGAGGATTGGATGGCGATGTGAGAGGATTGAATGGGGGTGTGAGAGGGTTGCGAGAGGATAGTATCATAGGACAGAGGTGCAAGAGGGTTGTAAGAGGATGAGGTGGAGATGCAAGAGGATTGCAAGAGGATGAGACGGAGGTGTGAGAGGATGAGACAGAGGTGCAAGAAGATCAGACGGAGGTGTGAGAGGATGAGATGGAGGTGCGAGAGGATTGGACAGAGGTGCAAGAAGATCAGACAGAGGTGCAAGAGGATGAGATGGAGGTGCAAGAGGATGAGATGTGTGAGAGGATGGGATAGAGATGTGACACCTGCCTGTTAGCATCACAGGAATAGTGAAGTGTGAGAGTGTGTAGCACTAGCTAGCGACTCACCACATAAGAAATAGAAGACTTGAAATACCTGTACGAGGACATTGAGGAGGTGTACCCAGAGGTAAGGTGGGAGGTATGAGAGGAGCACAGGAGGTTTGAAATTGGTTAACAGAGGCTCGTAGGGAGGTGCAGGAGGCCCGCGAGGGAATGCGGGAGCATGAACTATAATTAGATGGCGGGAGGGTGGGTCTCAGAGACTAGTTTCCCATAACATAAAAACTGGGTCTCTTAGACCCTTTATAGGCACCGAGAAGTGCTGCCTGAGGTGAACTTGTATATATCGGTGCAAGAAAGCCTGTGAACAATCATAAGGGAGTCAGCATATCGCGGTCACATCATAATAAGAAATGCTTACAGTGACGATGTAAACAAGTGGATTTGCAGATGGAGATATTAGAATGAGTTTGCATATAGAAGAAAAATCAGCAATATATATAATACTTATGTACCAGGGAGCGCGTAGGCATCTACGTGTCCTTGTTATTGAGAAGCTGTCTCTGCCCATTCTCTGCTCCCCATCTGCACCAGCTGCAAGCAAGCCTGCACAAATGCAAATATTTCCTCGTTGCCTGAGAACATCAAGCTTGAGCCCACAACTTCCGGAGATAGGCCCTTTACAGAAATTGAGATGTCATAAGAAGAATTGAAGAAAGGAAACGTACCAGATCATCCATCACACTCCGCATGTGATCTGAGATGCTGTTCCCTGAGCCCGCTGAATCATCCGAAAAGATCTGGTATATGGGTACTTCTGACGATACAAAAATCCTTGTCTACGCCAGTCGTTAGATTATCGATCATAAGCATGAAATACATGAGCTTGCCTTAGATTCGTAGCATGCATCTATGAATGTGATAAATCACCTTGCCTGTAGAATGATGGTTAATGCTGCAAGGATCTACGAATGGGAGAAACATACCATATCCTTCCTGTCCATCCCCATTTTCGGCATGTCTGTGATAAACAGAGTACCAAACTGCTTCGTCACCTCCAAGTAATCAGCGGCACTCAACGGACGGCCACAAATTTCCTCAAATGAGAATCGCATGACCTTTGACGTCGAAAGCAGAACACAAAGTGTGCGGCCCCACGTCGTTATTGGGTGGTTCTCAATAACAGGATCTTGAAGTGCAGCGGTAGGAGTTGGACATGTCAGTGAATTAAAGATTTTGTCTATCTCGGCTTTATTCTCTGGTGTTAGTGGATACGTGGGAGAGGGCGCATGGTATCTGTCTGTAGTCTGTGCATGATAATTGTAAGATCATACATACATCGGAAGAGTATGACTAGATACACACCAGTTCCTGAGTCTAAGTCCGTCACTTCAAAGCGCGATTTGAGAAGCTCTATGGCGGGTATAAAGCTTGAGCGTTGAATTCCATTCTTGTAAAGATCATCTGGGTGTCGACTGTGTGACAGTCAATCATAAGATACTGCCATGAAAAGCTTGATGCGCACTTGGATGTGATTGCGAACATGCGCATAACGCTGACCTGCACCAAACCGGTTCGGTGCATGGATGACTAATGGTCTCTCACGAGCCCGATACCCTAGAAATCATTATGAACAATCTTCCTTTACTTTATGGTTCAGACTGCAGTTCAGATAGTATTTTCATTTCTCAGACAGACTCAGATAGGCTGAATATTCTTGTATATTTAATTTTGCGGTAAAATTCTGCTTAGTCAGCAATAACAATGACTCAGACTGAATCCCACACATGTCAAATAACAGTGTAAAATAGTTCTTGCATCAGTTGCCTTGTGGGAACTTTCTTAACACTCTAAATACACGGCTCGCGTCATTTCTACGGTCAATAAAGCAACATCATAACAAGACACCAACAAATAACATAATCAGTCTGTTACTTAATATTTGTCACATGATACTAAGTTATATGACTCTAACAGTCAGGTGACCTATGACCCTAAACCAAATCATGACAAAGCAACCTTTTGAGATGACTAAAGCTTGATGACACAAATTATAAAGCACATGACTACAGTAAATAGTATTGGTACAATCTGACTAAGCCTATTCCCCTTAGAACGTGGGAAATAGTAACACAGCCACCATAATTTATCTATATAAGACCCCACTTTTTGCCAATAAAAGGATGCATATAGGGAACTTTTAAGCCCCACAAAATAAATTTGAGTGTGAAGTGTGATCAGTATCAACAACAGTGACAAGAGCTGTTAAGCAACTAACTGAGAGGTCATTGTAAGCAACATCCAGCAATACCTTTAGCTCATCGTCAACAACTGTGAAATATCTTGAGCTCACTGTGCTCAACAGTGAGCAAACTTTTTCTTTGATTTTCTACTGGTGAACCTCTAGTCTCTTTCTTTTCTTTTCTTTTCTTTTCTTTTCTTTTCTTTTCTTTTCTTTTCTTTTCTTTTCTTTTCTTTTCTTTTCTTTTCTTTCTTCTTTCTCTCTTTCTTTTTCTGTTTCTTTGTTTGTTTGTTTCTTTTCATTTGTCTCTTTTTCTGTTCAGTTCATTCACGTCTCAGTGTTATTGTCTGAATTTGTTTCAAGATCTTTGTGTTGTCTTTACGTCCATCTAAGCACCGGCTTAGTGGGAAGACTTCAGAAGTTGATAGTGACGCTTGACCTCACTCATCTGAGTAGTGATACTGAGCCAGGGTTTTCTTTGTCTGCTAGACTTTAGTTGTTGAATAGGGGACTTGGTACTGAAATCCAAGGACGTCCGTTCCTGATTCTGTTTAATACTCATCGTGAGTTCCTTGGCAGCAGGTTCAATAGTGAACTAAGAGTTCTACTGATCACTGATTAGTCCTGACCTTTGATTCTACCTGTTTGTGCTGAGGGGGTGATTGCTATAATTTCGCACGACTTTCTGTAGTAAATTTATTACAAGAAGCATTGTTACTGAAGGAAGGGTTTCTCTTATCAATCTATTTCTTTTTTTTATCAGTACCATACTGTTGGGCTGACTTTTCTCTGTTCTCTAAACACTGCCATACCGTTGGAGTGAATCAATTTCTTTTTGTCATCACCATACCGTTGGGCTGACTACATTCTGTTTATTTTATTTTCTATTGCGTCCATACTGTTGGATTGACTGGTATTGCTACTGACCTCACAGGAAGTACTTTTGTCTGAACATAGCTTGGGGAAGTGTAAACAGCCACCCACGAACAACCACGTTATCAGTCATTGGTATTTGTCTGAATCACTGACCGTGGAGATTTTTGATTTTGTAGGTGTTTATCTATAGATCATCTATCTAAGAAGACAACACTTTTCATGAAACTCTATGGGATGTGTCAGTATGCTTGTATGTAGAAAGTGGTGGTTACGCATCCGCACTTCGTCCCAGACATCATCATCAGCCTCCAGCATTGTAAGGTAATATTGTATAGGTACGATGAGACAATGTCCATCTAAAAGTTCCTCATTTAGTGTACAAGAGAGGTAGGCTTGTGTGCGAGGAGCACAGAAGTTGTTAGAACTTCCGCACCTGAAACTTGCCATCTCCCATGATAGCCTTTGCAAATTGGGCATCCAAATTCTTTTGGTCTGCCATTCCGGCTCCAAATCGCTCCTGCCTGACCATTTCTCCCAGAGTGATCTCATCGTCATCAGCGTTATACCTGAGAAGTTCTCCTGTCGTTGCATCACGCATTTAAAACTAACCAGTATATCATAGTCAGCGGGATCATGATGGTGCTGAAGGATGCAAATTTACTTTCTCTTTCTTCCTCTTGTTACCAGGCCCCTTCTCTGCATCATCCTTGCCATGACCAACATCATACATTCGTCCCCTGGCATCCAATGTCACTCGTTGACGTCATAGATGGTATCATGATGTTTGGTATTGGCATATGTGACTGCGCAAGTGGCGATGCAGCCTGCGAGGGCAAACATAAAGAGTTGAGACGCCGGTTTGCAGGCGGATTGGTGAGGGATGGCGTAGATGGGGTACTTCCTGTTGGACCTGATCCAGGACGTCTGAAGGATAAGCTACATGACGAAGCGCCGCTCACACCCAAAATATCAGCTAGAATGGGAGGGATGTCATTGAACGATGTAGTAGGAGTCGATCCTACAATATTTCAGTGGAGACATATTGTGGGACAGATAAGATCAACGTCCTGGAGCTTACAGAAATATGCGAGCCAAAGGCGTACATAAAATTCCCGTATGTATGACTCTTATCTTGATGCAGCCAATCAGATCATTTTCAGTCGGTGAAGTTGCCAATTTACAGTCACAAGATACATGCATTTCCAACTTCATTGGCTAAGGCTATAATCTTCTTCCAGATATTGTGTGTGGCAGTCATGTAGGTAGTGTGAGTATTTACAGAATGACTTCTACTTTATCGCGATCAGTATTTGTAGACAAAAGAAAACAGGATGATAATTGCCTAACCTCAACCATCCCATTCGAATTCTGACTCAGACTCCGAAAAATTCCTTCTCACATCATGATGATGATGCGACTTGCCTTTCTCAGGCAAGTTGCATGCAAGGTCCTCGATTTGTTCAAGTTGTAGGTCACCAACAGCAAGTGATGTGAGGTCGTGACTGTATGCACCAACGTGGAAGTCTACAGTAGACTCAAGCTCTTGCTTGTCCTGTGGAACAAGTGTTTCCATAAAGGAAACTGCTGCAGCGCGATCGGCAAATTTTTTAGCTTCGTCCTTGAAAATCAATTCAAGAAGCTTGGAGTGTTCCGATGAGGCCTGGATTTTCCAAGCCATTGTCATAGCGCGCAAGCGCATAGATTCACAAGCAGCCCGCTTGGCGACAATAATTTGAGCAACAGTCTCCTTAGATAGGAGCACAACACCACGCTCGAGGACGTCTTTGCCCTGACATATGATTGCTTGTCAATAAGTACTGAGCGTTTAATTAAAATCAAGCTAACATACCACTTGGACATCTGCTAGACTCATATTGGTCTCGCCAGGGTACCTCCCGCAAAACCTATCAGTGTAGCGAAGCTCTAGTGCATTGGGCAAGCGACCATGCAGCTTCTCATATGGCGTGAACTTCTGTTGTGCATGAAGGACATATCGAGATAGTTGCTTGGTGATTGCAGGAGGTTTGGGTATTGCGGTGATGAGGTCTGATATATCTTTGGATGATGATAATCGTCGATGTTTGGATGACGAGTTGGATGTCATTGAGTCAGATGGTGAGATTCTGCTGTGCTTCCGTCCGAGACGTGAGTTGCATGAATCCTGGAGCTGTTGTGAGCTTCGACAAGATTCATCACTACCCTGACGGGCATGGCCAATAGAGCTTGGAGGAGTATGTGTTTGCATTGTTTAGTGGTCGTGGATCATGAACTATAGGCCATCGGAGTTTGAAATTGACACTGTGTAATTCAGTTTAGGCCACCACGGGCCATGGCACCCAACGGCACTCCCTCCCAAATTCCAATCAGTACATCGTGCATGAATTTGTACGATTCACGATTCGCAGATTTACATGAGTATGTCCCATTTTATATTTTCCCTCCTCTTGCTTGCGACAATAAATTTCATTCAGTAACTGTGTGCGCAACAAATCCTGCTCCTGGGATGGTTCGTCAAGGCTAATACAAAAGTCTTCCTGACTCTCTTCGCCGGGCTTCACTCTAGTGTTCCGGACCATCTCGCCTAGTTGCGCAAGGTACACAGGTCGTGGAATTTTCTTGACTCCAACACATAAAGTAGGATCTTTCTCCATCTCGTCGAGCTCAGAGGGCGTGGGTGACGCGGAACGGGAGGAGGTTGGCGATGTGTAGCCTGTAAGTGAGTCATCCAAGTCGTAGCCGGTCGCGACACTAGCTTTTGTGAGTTTCAACGCTGAAAATTTTGTATCTTCCAGGACACCAGCAGTAATAATATCTTCTGTTAGGGCGTTCTCCGTGGCTGCCTCCGATTCATCCACTGTGCAGGGGTCAAAATCAATGTCTCGAGCCGAACAAAGTGCTCTTATGTCTCTGGCCCAGGGCTTCCCGTCGGCGTCTCCATCCCAATCTCCGAAATCCTGTGAAGTGATCAATTACTAAAATCAACTTTACAACAAGATAGACTCACAACGATGCCGCAACAGCAGTGAGTGCTTGATGTGCTCTGGCTTGAAGATCTCTTTCATTGGCTTCGAGAACAGCAACTTCCTCCGAGTTCTCATGATCGTCCTGCAATTCGCGAACTCATCACAGAGCGTCCAACCATCTGTGCTTGCCCCGGTAGCTCTAGTCGACTATTCCAGACTATCGTCGACTGCGGCCCGTTGGGGGTGTCTCTTCTACATATTATAAGAATGGAGCAATTTCCAATATGGTGTCGACGCCATGTGCGGGCTCCACTTGAGCCTGAGTGCACACGTTATGGAATCTCTCCATCCCGGCTTGATCGATTGCTTGACCCCTTTCTTGCTCCATTCTTTATGGCGTGCAGAGTTCCAATGTTCCTAATCTTCAACTTACCATGGCGTCGAGCTGCACCGGCAACATCATGGGCATTGAGACAGGTGAGATTCACTGTCTCCTGCGCATCACTTTCTCTTTCAATCCGCCGAGGTCTAATTGTACACTGAACCGCAGGCAGTTTCCACTGAGAGCCGCATACGTGACGATGTTCAATGGCTCGCATGGTCTAACTCTGCGACGGGCGGTGCTCGACCTTCACACGGATGTATTTGCGCATGGTCAGCCATAAACTGCACTATTGAGAGTGCGGAATGGTCGGGATATTAGAACATTATGGTCAGTGTCGAACAACGAAAGGGAGATGGCGAACATAGTTTACAATTGTTTGTAGTTGTAACAAATCAAAATGGACCGTCCGCAGGTGAGTGGACTGCTTGTATTATTATCATGTGCATTGCTGGACAAGTAGACGCGGGTCTAGTAGACATGGACTTTCGATCGCCCCTCCTGAGTGAGCAATGTTAGTAGTGAAGATACCATTCCTACTAGTTGTGATAGTGAACTTGATCCATTTCGATGTATGTACTACTAACTCACTAGCTACTCAAGCCCATGCCATGATATATGTGTTCAGTGCATTACGTTCCTCGTCAGTTAATGTTTCGAAGAGCTGGACAAACACTGTTGTATGTAGACTGCTTCGTAATGACATCAAATTCGAGGGGAGAGAAACGTCCAGTAGACATTTAATCCAATGCCCAAGTGTGGAGTGTGCTCGTGTATGCAAGAAGGGGCCCAAGATTTTTCGTTGGGCTAAGGTATCGCCAGTATTGGCGGTCATGAAACAATAAATGCTTGACAAAACTTATGATTGCTTGATGCCCGAATGGTAGGTAACCATCATTCCCTGCACCTAGTAATGTATCACTGAGAAATAGAAATAAAATTAAGGGGTCCCAAACACTCACGTTAATAGCTCCTTTAAGATACCTATACTCTTTGACGAGCTCCTCGATGAACAACTGAATCATCGGTGCAGTCTGGGTGTAGAGGGGAATTTGGTATCCCGGAACCACCCAAGCCCTCGTGAGCTCCTTTATATCATCTCTGAGATTTTCAAGGACCTCCGAAATTTTGATTACCCCCACCTGCCCTTCTGCTGTCATGAACCATTGGGCTGCTGTTACCGGATGACAAATCTAAACTTTTTTGCGCCATTTCGACAAGTTGGTCCGGCTTGGGCAAAAACGCCCTGTTGAATATTGAGCATCTCATGGCTTCTAACATGTCATTTTCCCAGTGGTTGGGGTTGCGGCGTGGAGGACCCCTCGAGGGCCGAGTTTTTTAGTAAGGCTTATGTCGAATGGGACGTGAGGAGGCGCAGGGCAGTCGATATGCATGTATATGCCGTCTCATCATCGAATGAGAGTCATTGTGAGATATCGAGATTCAGAACGCTGCGGGAGGGTCCCACTTCCTGGTAGCTGGCCTCAGGCTGTGGTTCAGACGGGAAATGGTCAAAGAGACCATGTACCCAGCTGACCGCTGGGACTGAATTTGCAGGGAGGTTGGCCTGATCCAATGGTGGGGGTGGTAGTGGTTCAGAGTAGAAGGAATCAGCATATGAATTGGGACTGGGGGCCACCTTTGTACAGGTCGGGCCAAGGATTGACATCATACAAGGGGGACTGGTGGTTTGATGGGGCAGGCTGCGGCTCGTTGTGACTGGACCGTCTGAGGGAGGCGAAAATTCCGTGGGTCATTAAGTCACGTTTGATCTGCAAATATTCGAACATCGTAGTTGAACAATTGATTATCACGACTTACTGGGTGGACTACCGTGACGTTCTGACACACTCTAGAGGACTCAGCATCGTTGGAGGAGGGATGAATCACGGGGTCCAGGTTATTGTGAGCTCTCTCCGAGTTGAGCTGCTGCTGCTGCTGCTATGTTGGATCACTAAAGCGACTCTGAGAAAACTTTAGATGAGCATCACCATGACTCCCGCCTGGAGAGTGTTTCAAGTTTGCTCAACCTCCCGATTCAGAGTCTGTTGATGAGATCCAAATAAAGGTGGTTGAAAAGGGTAGGTCACACCAGGCGGCGCAGTGGTTAAGTCAATCATACCCAGGCGATTTGACTGCGTCAGGGATGTGTTCTGCCAGTGAGAACCTCCTTCACGATCACCATGGCATTCTGAGTCATCCGGAAAGCGTGACATTGTACCTGACGATGAATGTCGAGAATGACCTGTTCATGTACTCAGCTTTGAAACGAGTCTAAGAGTGAGTAGCCTACCATGAGGCGGCCGTGCACTGATCAACCTTTCAATTGATCATCAAGGCTGACTCGGAGTGAGCCCAGACTCAACTGAAAGCATCTGAGATTGATAACTTGAACTTCTTGCAATCGATAAGGATGGCATTGACTCCGAGAGTCAATCGAGTCGGTGCTATGGGCCGTGAGTCCGAAATTCGGACAACTCGACTTTAGTACTGGTCAGCTCACTGGCAGCTTTTGAAGTTCAGAGCCTCGACGCTGCAACAATCTTAGCAATCTGCTGACGGCTTTGACATCAGAACATTTGACATTGTCACAGTCGAGGAAAGATGAATTTACCAAACTGTTGTTCGTTTAGTTACATAAGGACGGGCATGTGTTCACGATATAGACCAGACCAGGCCTTAATTTTGGCCGGTTTGGACAAAGTCGTTCATTGTTGATTATCGTAAGGCTGCGGACACGCCAGTTCCCGACTTTGCCGACCGTTGTAATGGTTTAGACAATTTCATACTGTATTTGCTTCTGTTTAACAGGACCAAAGTGTGACAATGTGACACTGGTTTGCCATTTCACACCCTCGACGATGCCTGCAGCAATGTCTATGCAGCTGCGAGAACGTTATCATCTGGCATCATGAAATGCACGTACCTATTGATGGAATTGTGATCCTTCGCTCGGTGACAATGACTTGAAGAATCCAGAACATCATGATGCCAGACGGTTTGTAGCGTGTCACATGTCACATGTTTGTACTGAAAACATGACCAAACATATCAGCAGTGTAGTTTGGTTGTCTAAACCATTATGCAAACGACTGTATTTATTATTGATTGCGCCTCGGACAACTCCCCGAGTCATGCACTCCGAGCATCGATTCTTATATTGGGACCTGTTACCTCTTGTTCTCGCTGGCATTCATTGGACCGTGTGCGGGAGCACTCTCCAAAACCGAGCCCGCATCCGTAGCAGCCCAGTTAAGGTTTACGACCTCGACAAACCCTTCTTCATCATTGGATGCGAGTATGCATACAAAAGTGTATCGTGTATCGCTAGCACGACTCCTGAAGGACGCAAATTGGCCAGCACAGACGTGTCTGTTATGCAGGGACTTCCCGTGAGGCTAAGTTGAGGCTAAGAGAAGAGTTTCCAGCGCGGTTGTTGCAGGGTGACGCCGATCTGGGCCCTGGAAACAATGTTTGGAATTGGCATGCTGTTGGTGTCCCCAAAACGCTTGGAACATGGTAAAAGCCTGTCTCAAAGTCGGGATGCCGAAGGACAACATTCTCAATATCATCAACGCTGTCCAAAACCCACCTCCAGATGAGAAAAGGGAACAAGATCAGGAATATGATGTTGATGATGGTGGTGTGGGTGCTGATATCTTTCGGTCGACAACAATAACCAAGTATGCATCTATCCGCCTTCTGCCTCTTGTCTGCTAATAGCACAAGTGGGATGCTATAGGCGAGTTCAGCAATGCATGGGGAGTGGACTCTAGTGCTCCAGAACCTGGCACATCAACCCAGATTCATCCCTCTATGCCTCGACCCTCGACATCTACTCTTGGTGGTGCTACACCTGACCGTCCTGCTGCATCAGTGTCCACGTCCGTACAGCCACAGCCTCAACCTCGTGCACAGGCACAGGCTCCGCCGCAGGTACAACAATTTGCTTTCGGACAGCCAGGCCCGTCTGTATTGTATGCCTATCCCGGGTACTCATATTACCATCAGCACCCCTAAAGTCAAAGTGCTCCACCTCCACCAGTTTCTCAGCCGCACACACCAAGTGAGCAAAATGGACTTAAACGAGCGTATGGTTATGGAGAGATGAGTGAAGTTGCAATCCTAGAGCCCTCGCAGAAGCGAACTCGACACTGCTGCAAGGGCGGACATGTTTTGTATGAATGCGTGTCAGGATTGTGGGAAGATAGACTGCAAGGGCCGGAACAGCAGACGTCCAGACAAGGTATACTCGGAAGCGTGGAATTAGGTGTAGGAGTGTGCTGGTATCGCGGGTTGTACGACGAGAAATACAATACGAAAACCACTCCTTGCCTACTCTGATACTATTCCGGTCTGTTCTAAATCTCAGTTTCCGCAGTGTGAGTGATGGCATTGTGACTTCTGTTTACTACTGCGACTTCGACTTATCTCCGAGTCAGGCTTGGCATATCAATTGTACTATTGTCGGGTGTCACTACTACTAGTAACTGCCGAGCCTACTAGTAGTTCGGCTTTATTGCCTCACCCAGTTTTTCGAGTGATTGTTATCATGGTGCGCTGCATCGCAAATCCATTTCGTTCATCAGAAGCCATCACTACTACTAACTCTAACAGAGGAACCTCAGGGATCGACATTATGACCAGGTTTGTTTTGGTGAATACTCAAACTATCTAGCTGTACCGTGACTAGGACTGGGACCCCCACCCTCGAAACGTCCGCTGGGTAGGAGCGTGGATTTAAACTCCACTGGGAGTGCTGTGTCCCAAACTTTGGCCCGCATTTGACTCAGACGTTCAGGCTTTCTCAGACAGGCCAAATCTCTCAGGTCATGCTGGCGGTCACGGTGTTATGCTATTAGAGTTATCAAATTCCCAACCGTCCCTTACTATGCTAAGTCGGACGCTGATCCGAGTTGGTCCCGATGGCCGGGGATGCGAACATTGTTTGCCCTAGTATATTCACCTCCGAGACAGTCACAGTGAGTTCTTTCTCTGCTGAGATATGTCCGGATGAATCTGTTGACTTTCAGAATATCATCAACATGTGACTAGTCGTCACGGTGGGTCAGCGTTTGTCGCGACTCACAACTTAAATAGGTGACCAGAGTGCAGTTGTCACATAGATCAAATTTCCCGCCATGTCTGAACTGCGGTCTAGTAGCAGTCAAGTTCCTGAAAATTTCTCTCCAAACATATCTTCAAGAACTCGTGCAAAGCAGCGCTCTCAGGCTCTGCGAGTGCAAAATGCAGCCTATCTACTAGAGTGCGCTCGGAGCTCCCTGATGTCAACGACCAGGACTTGGAGATGTCGAACCACATGCGTGCAGGCTGAATGTTTCTATGATGGCATGGCAGACTCCCAGGCAATCGAAGGATTCTCCACACAACCGCAGCAGTTCCAGGAGCTCGAGAAAGGTAATTTGAAAGTTTGTCTCCAGCTGAGTCGGTGAGGATACTTATGTCGTGCTAGTCAAGTTCAGGATATCACTACACACCATGGATAGCAACCAAAGTGTGACCTGTGTGGACCAGTCATACTCCGAATCGGATTGTCGCCTAGACATCTTCGACCGCATCAAGGCTACAATGGATGTTCCAACCACGTATGAACACTTGGCCTGGCGTTTATCTGTTGCCCACCACAAGGACCCACCCCATCACCTTCTGACATCATATGATATAGATGATGCGTTCAAAGCGGTGCGAACAGAACAGGGCTCTGGCAGGCGGAAGAAGAAAGTTGTGATTGAAATTATCAACACCGTATGTGATTTGATATTTGCAAGTGATTTGTACAGATTAATTTGTAGATGCCTACACTGAAAGAAAGGCCGGTGAAACGCAGCCCCGAATCTTCTGCGGCAGACGAGCAGAGCCTGTCAGTCAGATTGGACACGTGTCCAGGGACAAACTCTCTCGCTGCTCCAGAGGACCACCACCGAGATTATCTCTCCTATCATCCACAATCACATCCACTGTTTCACCCGCCATCAGTGACACGGTAATCTCTGAAGGAAGACAACAAGGGAATACCCGATCATGAGGCCCCAGCCACTCAAAAGGACATATGCCCTTTACATGGAAAGTGATGAAGAATCTAGCGATGACAAACCACCGCAAATCATCAAGGACTTCCTTACCAGTGTCCATTCTCGCTATCCTGCAATGAACCTCTTACAATACGCCAGTAAACTGAAGGATCGTGGCATATTGTATTTGCCAACCACAGCTGGGTTTGATGTTGGATTCTACCAGAACAAGGTCGGTATGCCAGAGGGCACTGCACTTACCTTTCATAGCTGTCTTTACAAAGCTTACATGAGGGCGGAACGTGCGAAGGGAAGAAGGAAGACTAAAGGGAAAAAGAAGGCACGAGCCCAGCCACATGATGACGGCTCAGAGGACGAGTAACATAGTGACTACTCTCCCCACCTATGGCATGACCATATAGTCGCTACTACTGTTGCATATTCTGACCGGAACAGAGCCAAGTTGTTTTGTTTCTCCTCCCCCTTGTTTACACCCTTACTTCTTAGGTTCTCCCCAATTCAAGTTACTTCACCGTTGAAGTTACATTACATAGCTTTATGAAATTACAAGACGAGCTGGCTGATACCATGTACCATCCAGCAATGTCATGCAGATATTTTCCCAACAACAAGTCTGGATTAGAAATCTCTTTTTCTTACAAAAAATTCTGTGGGAAACGTTATGTCAACTTGCATCCATGTGACATCTGTCTGTGTCATTCATGTACACATATCTTTCTGTATTTCTTTGTTAGCTCACCAGGTTATTGGCGTTGCATGGGTGTTGGAATGCAAGAAATGTGGGGACAAGGGAGGCTGTTTGAGCGATGAGATGGGCTTAGGGAAGACGGTGCAGATAATATCAGTGGTCGTCGCCAACCCCTCCAATGACCCTATATGCAAGACGAACCTTATCGTTGCTCTGTTGGCCTTACTGGACCAAGGGAAGCTTGAGATCGAGATGAAGATCACCAACAATTTGAAGTGTCTAGATTACCATGGTACGTTCAGAATTGTATATGAGTTTCAATTGAATTCAAGTCTCACGTTCTCTTCTATTGAGGCTCCAACAAACCTCGCAAGAAGACTGACTTGATGAAATACGACATTGTATTAACTACTTATCATGTGCGTTTGAGTGTGATATCTTTCATCGATTACTGACTCTGGTAGACTCTTGCACTGGAATGGCCAGATGTGGAGGTGGAAGAAAAAGCCAAGCAGAACGGCTTTGAACATCGTAAGTACTACTAAGTTTGAACTCGGCTCAATTTAGGTCGCTAATTGACCTAGCACCTGTAACTCGGGTCACAACTTGAAGCATTGGCGCGCGACCCCTCCGCTATCGAGTTTTTGGACTGTAGTAGTAATCCCAACTGAAAGTGAGCAGGAAATGCTCGCTTCAGCGTCACCGGGATCGGTTTGCAACTAGTGAACAGCCACTAAAAAGGCTCAGGAGCAGCTGCTCGTTTCGCGTACCGGTGTTAATTGTGTTGATCCGAACCACGTCAAAACTCATGAAGACTAACTTTCGGCCATACTCAGGTTAAACATTATATATAAGACGACCTCACAAGCCTCGTGCTCTCCCACTTTTTTGCACTTCTACCTCGTCTTTGGGCCGATATGCCAACATCTGATATCAACTCGGGACAGTGCCCTACTCTGGACGTCTCACTCTGTGTCCAAACCTCTCCGCATGCTAGGGCGAAGCGAAAGATCGCCACTCTGATGGATGAAATTGAAATCTTGAAGCAGGACAAGGCAATAAAGCAAAGGTGCGAGGCATGTTCTCGCTCACAGTAGTAATAATACCTTGCTACAGAAAGACAACCTATTATGTTTCACAGGGACAGGCAATCTGTCGCATCATTGCCCTTTACACCCCTATAGAAGATTTGATCACCGAAAACGACAGGCGGTGTGAAGATTGCGAGCCTAGCAGCAGCCCCACTACGGAGTAACTATTCATGTTCATATCACCATGCTTAATTATAAAATGGAACAGGCAAGACCGTCTCCAACGCGGTTACATCGAGCTCGTCAAGGCACTACCATGGCTTCACGATAAGCTAGCATGTCTTGATCACGAGGAGTCAGACGACATGCTCAGAAAGGTTTTTCCCAACGTCTTTATCACACTTTTCGCTCATTCTTGATATAGCTCAAGCGAGGTGCAGACTCTGCTCGTGGTGACGACACAGGAACCCTTAAGGAGCTTGTTGCTTCATGGGTAAATATCGAGTGCCATCCGACCACACTCATCAGGACCGACGACAAACACCATCGAGGTTTCGTCAATGATGCATGTGGTCAACTACTCTGCCCGGCGGAATGGCATTGGGAGGACTCAGCGTATGTAATGATCATTGTCACTCGCATGTTGCTGACATTTTGTTTAGCGTCAAGGCTGGCATTCGTGACCGTACGACTTCTTTCATCGTGTCTGAAAACTCGTGGCCAACATTCATGTATGAGAATTATGAAGCTGACACTAAGAATTTGGAACGCGGGCTCATGAAGTCGAAGTTATTGGTTATGGTGAGTGACCTAATTCTTGCAACTGATTCACAACTCATTGTATTGAAGGGGTTCAAGGCCATTTTCACATCCCCTTCCTCGGCCAACAAAGTGGATGGCGATGGCGATGGCGCCAATATCATTGAGAATTGCAGGCGCGCCCGGAGACGGTCAGATCAAGCCAAGGTCAAGACGTGCATTGCCTCTATTATAGGCATGAGGAAGGTGACGCCTCGCGCGATTGCATATACTGCTTGTCAGGTCAGTAGCATCAATACTTTGTTCTAATTGTGAAACTGAAATCTTCAGATTCAATTCGCGCTTTCCAATATCACTTCCTGGCGTACTGTAGACGGGGATTTTGACTACCTGGTTTTCTGGAACAACATCGTAGACTTTTTTGAAGCCCCCCCGGGTGCAGCTGCGCGATTGAGGATGAGTCAACTTCTCGAGTGGTGGACTAGGTAAGCTATCAGTGTCAGTGATTCGTTCTATTAGCTAAATTAGTCCTGTGCAGGAAAGTTTTCGGAAGAAACCATCGAGAGGACTTGACACCAGACGTCATTTCCAAAATGTCTGTCAATGCTCTCGCTGCTCAGAGACAGCAGATGGAGGACACCGCATTTGACTCCGACTAGATGCTTTCCATTTTTTCCTGCTCGTCCTCCTTGTGTGATGCACTCGCTATAGCCTTATATTACCCATAATTATGATATGTCGTGTCTTCGTATCAGATGAATTTGATTTTGCCAATATGCGTCAATTTATTCCCTGGTCCTATCTAAGTCAATGAAAATGTCTGGTACTGCTCGGAAGTACCTCGAAGAGAGGGTCTCTAGAAGGGTTGCTTTCTCTAATCGATAGCAATTCATTATCGCGATTCATGAGAATTATCTGGTTTCAGTTGGTAGATCAGCCTCATTGTGATTGATAGGCTAGTTCTGGAAAATGCAGTGATACTGTGGTGAGCTCTGCATTATCTAGCGTTCACGCTAATAGCGCCATTTAGGTTCGATGGTATGAATCCAAGAGACATGGCGGCATTATGATGATGTTTGTATTTTTGGTCTTCGCGCCACCGACAGGAAAGAAAGTCTGCTGTGGATGGCCTCCGCATTATCTAGCATTCACGCTAATAGCACCGTTCAAGCCCGATGATGCGAATTCAAGAGATGCAGTGGCATCATGATGATGTCTGTATTTTCCACTCTTCGCGCTAATGACAGGACAGAAAGTTTTTACTTCGGAGACCTTACTACAAATACATGGAATGGTAAGTGAAATACCGGTGTAGAGACTCATGCCTCTCATTGTGCAATATGGCATGAACTTGTAGCATCACTCTGTGTGCTACCTGCAGCTATCTCTATATGAGGCGCAGCTTTCCCGCGCAACGCGCGCCATGCGCGCGTACCTTTCCCGCGCTGTAGCGCCCTATAGTGCCAGCCATCCGGAAGCATCCATCCACTGTCCACCAAGTTCCCTAGTGCGTATATTTCCATTTCTCACATTTGCTGATCATTCCATCTTTATTTTTATCATGGACCCTTACTTACATATATCTTTACATACCTTACTCAGTAGTGCTTCGGCTCCGCATGACAGCGCTTAGGCGCCATACTTAAGCGCCAGCAGTACATACTTACTTACTCACTTACTCTCCCACCAGAACGACAGAGGACTTACTGGTTACTACCCACTATTCACCTAGCAGAACATAGAAGAAATCTATTTGTTTACACCTCGCATCTCTCTTCTCTTGTCTTACATCATATCATCACTTAAGCAAACTCACTCTTACTCTCTCTCGTATCTGTATACACGCGCATGCTTTCCCACGCTTCGCGCCATACACGCGCGCATTCCCGCGCCTTGCGCGCACCTGCGCTTTCTCACGCTTTGCATTGGCCAACCAGTAGCGCTTTCAGCGCATATCTCTAGATCCTTGCTGCACTCGCTTCCCCTTTAGGGTCGAACGCACTTGTCGTCTCAAGTATAGCAGACTAGGCAATGCACGACCTTACAACAATTATAGATACAGTCAGGAGCATTGTTCGTGCCTCGCTGTATCATTGAACCTTCACCGGGCTGATCCATGGCCCACTACCGTCAAGTACTGAGTCAAAGCACTATAATATAAACATGTAGTGCCCGCGCAAGGCTACAACATCTTGTGATGGTATCCAAAGTGGGATACAACTCCCAGTAATTCGATATCTAAAGAGAATAGCATCAAAAGTGCAAGCAGCATATGAATAAATTGTTACTCGTGCGGTGAGCATATCGTCATCCTCTGGAAGATATTTGCTTTCATTACACCTTGACAAATTGTCCCATTAATGACAAAAGTTAAAATTTTCAAGCAGATGTTGTTAAAAGTCAAAGCGGAACAAAAGTTGATCTGTCGCTCACGTATTGAACGCATCTGCTGCTCCACAAAGGCAACACTTTTTCGCACGGATCCCCAATTGATATCTAGCAGCCAACAATTTAATATATTGAATGTTGCTTTCACCATGCGACTTGTGATTCGCTTGGCTCGAGTGTTATCTTGGCAGGTAATTGATGTATCATTGCTGATCAGTGAACACTTTGTCGTTTTTCTTCATCTCTAGATTTTTCCTGTAGTGTTTCGAGTCTAGCACAAAATTCAACCCTCGAGCAAATTAACTGCAAGATTACCTGCGGACCAAACGACATGTACCTGCACTACTAATAGCATCATCGCAGTGTCTTTCACCTTCACAGATCGCAACCTCCTTTCTTTTCCCTCTCAGTATCTGTCCATATTAAACTTCATGAACCTGGGCCCGTTTATGTTTTCTTAGACACATTCAAATGAAAGAGATCACTTAGCCAATATCGTTCCTCAGCTGGTGTGCTTTCAAATTGTTCTTTCCTCAACAATGCCAAATATTCCCATGTGGAAGTGGTCAGCAGATATACGAAGATTGTTGTGATGCTGTATTATATATTGCTTTAAATAACCTTCTCATTTGTTCATCGGTTCTCTGATGGTAGTGGTACTAATTCTTATTTGTGATCGTCTAGGACTCAAGTCGTGCATTTTAGCCACTGATCGAAGCCTAGAAGAGTAGTGTGATGTATATTTATGGCGATGTTCTGGATACTAGAATGGGCAGCACAGTTCGCGAGAGCGAATGTCGAGTCCGCACTGACAGGACAGTAATTTTGGGCCAGTAGGGAATGAATGCATTTAGTTCTTTGTTTACTGCCAGTGATCTAAATTACTAGGCTTATGATGATGGAACAAGCATCTGTTTGCAATCGAAAAGACTTCCAGGCTGTGTACCTAGAGTAGTAGTTATGTTACATGTGTGCTCTACATTAGCTTGGAGTCCTCTGCCACACTGAACTTTCGAAGTAAAATAATCTGTGATCGTGAACACATGCCCAGCAGTAGTGATTATCCTATATCAACTCGGCTGGGTAAGGGATGCACAATGCAATAGAACCAAGGGTAACAACTATAACAAGACGTGAAGTATGAGTAAGCTAAAAACAAGAAAAGAAACGACCCAATATAAAAAGACAAAAGGGAGCTTGTGACGAGACAATGTCCAACATAGGGTCTATGACCCCAACGGACCAACTCTGAAGCAAAAAAAAAGACGTGAAGACATGAACAATGAGTCTACTGATGCTGGGGATCATCAGGTCCCGCATTCCGATGCCTGCGCTGCCTAGGGATCAAATTCAGGACAATATTCATAGAGAAAAGGACTTGCGTATGTGATGCTACCAATGCGAGGGAATTTCCACCACCTGGAGTCTACAGATGCTGCAGACCCATTGAACATAGGAAAGCGCTTCCAAAATGACTTCAGAGGCGAGGCCAGGACCGGAGTGGAAGCTGAAGCAGTCACTATTTGAGGATGAAAGGAGCTTTGAGGAGGAAGAGATGGGGAAGGTGATGCAGCTGCATCACGCGAGTTGATGGTTTCTGGAGGTACTTGAATTCCACTGGAAAGCTCGACTGGAGTAAGGATTTCATGATCGGAGTGACCTTGAGGAGGTAGATATGGGGAAGGTAAGGTAGCAACATCATGCGAGCCTACAGTATCTGACGGGAACTCAGTTCCATCCGGAAGTTCGTCAAGTGTTGGTGAGGAGTTTGCTGACGGCTTAAATCACATTTGCATCAGATATGCTGCTGTATAGACAAAACACAAAATTTATTACCTGGTCAATGTACCTCGTGATATTGGACGTTGGGGAAGCGAATGAGGGCGACACTACATTCTGTTACGGTACATTCATTCTCTTCGTTTCTCCTTTGCTACGGGACAATGGTACATGGATACGGCCCTTAACGAGCGACCAATCACTTTTCAGACCCTTACTCATATCATCGCCAAGCTGACCTTTCGTACCAGTAACCATCACTATGTCTAGCCAATCATCTCTTATCAAGCGGGCTGTCCGCACCATGGCTACTATCTCTTATCCCTTATCTCTTATCACTTACCAAGCGGGCTGTCCGCCTTCTATCTTGATACGCATTTACAAGCTCCGCTTGAACTCTCGCTATATAGATACATAGCGCACCACATGTAGTTCTCCACTTTAATCTACTGGGTTTTACCTGGAACAAGTCCTTTAGCAAGGTCTCCAACCTTGCTATCTAAGAACCACCATTCTAAGGAAGTCGCCGATACTTGCCTTAGCCAGAAACCTTTGAACCTCTCATTCGAGAGAAGAACCACGTCTGTCTCGCCGAATCTCAGTCCACTCAGACTAAGACAGCTCGACATACCCCAGTCGTAACAAAAGATTAAAGTCCTACCATAGACGCCGCCACCTGCGACGTCAGCAGAACACCACGACTTCATTAACTCCTTTGATCGGAGCTTTGAACCTAGGCGCGCTACCGCCGATACCACCGTTAAATACAATGGCGACCACTACCAAAGAGATAGAAATCAAGATTGGTTCTCCCCCCGAATTCGATGGAGATCGCGATGAATCGCACAGGTTCATGCTGAACTGTAATGCGTATTTAGATATCAACGATAAGATCTACGACAGTGACAAGAAGAAAGTAATCTTCGCACTCTCGTTTATGACCAAGGGCAATGCTGCCGCTTGGAAAGAAGACTTCATGGAAACCGCTCAGAACGCCAAACTAAAGAATACCGCAGGAAATCTCATTGGGTACGGCACCTGGGATGAATTCAAAGTCGCATTCAAAGAAGCCTTTGGAGCTATAGACCCCGCCGGGACGGCCATGGCTAAAGTACGAGCCCTCGAAATGAAAGGAGACCTCCATACGTATATCTCCAACTACCGCCTCCTAGCCCATAAAGCAGGAATAACCGAGAACGTCACCAAGGTGGAGTTCTTCCGCGAAGGTCTTGACGTAGGACTTCGCAACAACCTCTACCATACGGGAGAAAGTCTAGACGACTTTGAAACCGTTATCGCAACATGCATCAACCTAGATAACGCCTTCCAGAGGTTGAGAGCCATACAGAAACGAGAAAACCCCGCGCACTACCAGCATAAAAAGAAGAAGTACGGGGATCGCCACTTCACCCCCCGCAGAAGCGATGCCATGGAGATAGATCAGCTCTCCGAGTCCGAAGTAAAGAGACACCTCAAAGAAGGACGCTGCTTCAAATGCCACCAAACGGGCCATCGTGCCAACGATACCACTTTCCACCCCAGGGAAGAAAGAAACAGAAGATGCCCATCCGCAGAAAGATTGAGAAAGAAGAGAGTAGTGATGACGACGAAGAGGTAAACCGACGGTTCGTGGAAATGGATTTTTAAAGAAGGAGACTGCATCGATGTCAGTATCTCCTGTCCCGATACGACTTGTACAATCACTTGGAAATAAAAAGGAGCTTCGCGTCCCT